TAGTTTTTTTGTTTGTTTTTTGTTTGTTTTTGTTTGTTTGTTTGTTTTTTTAATTAACTGAAGGGATACCAAAGAGATGAGATTCTAGATTGAACCCTTTTCTGAGGTCTGGGCAATTCATGTTCATTGAGTTAGTTTTTCTTCTTTTTTCTCTTTCTCTCTCTCACTTTCTGTAGAAAACAAAAACAACAACAAAAAAAAGGAGTTATAAAATAATTCCTCCTCAAAATTCAATTGATAACAATAGTGTTAATAATAGTCAATTTTATGTCAAAAAAGAAAGCTGAGGACAATTGTAGTGTAAAACATTTCATACATCCTCTTTTCAGCTATTTTGGGAAAATTGTTTTACATTAGTATAGATATATATTTGTTCTTTGTGGGGGGTAACCCACTGCTTCTTTTTAATATCTTTTTTGTGTGTGTGTAGCTTAAGATAGTGTATTCATTCGAATCTATTTAGTTAAAAAAATACAGTATTTAAGTGAGATCAATCAATCGCCATTTTTCCCCACTATGTTTATCTTGTGCCAACTAACCTTTTTTAAAAAGCATAATTATTTAGTATTGAAAAAAATATGGACTTTAGCAGGGATTTTGTTACATAGAACATAGTCTCTCTTCTTATTTGGTATAGCCAGTTGTTTTTAAAAAATATTAAATTGTAACATTATATGTTAATAAAAAATAAAAATAAAAAATAAATTGTATATAGAGAAAGAGAGAGATGGCAACTTGATTTAAATGACATAACAGGGGCACGTGGGTGGTCTGTGTGTGGCTCATGTCATGATCCCGGGCTCCTGATATTGAGACCCCACATCAGCCTCCCTGCTCAGCGGGGAGCCTGCTTCTCCCTTTCCCTGCCTGCTGCTCCCCCTGCTTGTGCTCTCTCTCTCTCTCAAATAAATAAAATCTTTTTTTAAAAAAAGTAAGTGACATAGCATAAACATGGTGTGTGTAATCATTCAGTAAACATACCAGATTATTGGCTGCATGTCTAATCGGTAGGTATATGACTTGAGGTAGAAAATCAAATGTTCTTGCCCATGTAGGTAGTAGCATCCTGAATTCATATACCGGGGATTCACTGTGACTGAGGCATCACTGCAAATGGGAAAGTAGAAAGATGAGGTGTTTTAGGTATCTTAGGGAGGAGTTCAGACTTTTATTTTCTAGGAGATGGGGAACCATTAGTGGATTCTGATCAGTGGGTGTGATGTGTTCATATGTAGTTTCTTCTTGGAACTCTGTGGAAATGTACTCGATCGGGCAAGTCTTATCTTTCAGACGAGGACACCCTTCATCTCGTGGTGGACATTTTGGGCAGTTTGTCACAAGGTCATTTTGCAAAACTTTTCCATGCAGACCCAAAAATTAAAGTTATTCCAGTGAGAATCTAGAGCACAGTCTAGGTCATGTTATATAAATCAGGTTGGACTTTGAAAAATGGAATGTCCTATTTTTATACATTGCTAATAAAAACAAGCTTATGGCTGCTCTCTGAAAATTCTAGGCAATACCCCAGCCTTTTGTTGTTTTAGTTTCTGGTACATTTGTATTAAAATGTTCTGTTTTTAGAATGGTTCAGAGTAAGGGGCACCACTTAATTTATTTTCTCTTTTGCATCCCGAAATGTAATAAACATCTGTATTTCACACAGCTTTTTTATTTTATCTTTACAACACCTCTACTGGGGATATATTTCACTATCCTCATTTTAAAATTAAAGTGACTGATGCCCAGGTTGAGCAACTTGGCCTTCATTACAGAAATAGAGTTGGAATTTGAAGCCAGGTCTCTCCAACTCCAAAGTGTTTTTTCCCCGAGTAGATCACCCTCCCTCTTTGATAGAACTTGTCTAATTGCAATGTCATTTTCCCCTCTGTGTACCCCTTTCCTTAAACATTTCCTCCATGTCGTCTGAAGTCATTGGGTGAATTACACATCTGCCCATCTCTGGTCTAGGATAGCTCAGCTTTTTGACTTTAGCTTTTGTAGCCACTAGTTTCTTCCACAATAACAGGATAAAGAGCCAGAAGAGCTCTGTTCTCCAACACCTTACATCACTCCGCAGACAATTGGCAGTCAGGAGAACGGCAGCTGCCATACTCTTCAGATATCTCTCTATTTAAAGTTCAAAGAGACGCTGGATGACAACGACGAGGAGGTGAGCGTGGCCCGACCAACGCACCCAGCAACAGGAAGAATGGCTGAAAAAGGTAAGATTTAAGGCATCAGACCCTCTTGGCAAGAAAAGGTCCCAGCTCCCTGGTTTAGATTACATTCCCCAGTATTAAGTATTTCTCAGTTATTCTGAAGAATGTGGTATCACTGTGAAAGGGGCACTAACCACCTACGTTAGCATGGCTACAAAAAAATGCATTGGGTGTACAATTTATAGACTATGTCTATATGTTATGTGTGCTTTTAAAAGGATCATAGAGAAGAGCTTAATTTGTTCATGACTTTTCTTCAAAAGATGAGTTAGAAGCCAGATACTCTCTGGGGTTGTGCTAGATTGGAGGTATTGTGGTCTGTGGGACCAGAATTAAGGACATCTGACTTCTTTGTCAGATCTGCTACTGAACAGCTGTAAGAACGTGGGGAAGTCCATCCACCTCTCTGGACTTGTTTCCTGCACCTGAAATGAAATAAATAAAATGGGCTTAGTCATTTCCAATATGCTTCATATCTGAATTTCTTTTTTTTCTGCTTTTAAAATATGTATTATATTTAAGAAAAATGATTGAATCTAATATGACAAAAGGGGCTGAATATATACGGTATCCAAAAAAAAAAAAAAAAACTTTTTAAATACCTCCAGGAATTGTTGCTTTTAATTCAGACAATAATCTCAGGAGATATAGGGTATTATCATCATTTCTGCTTTACAGATAAGGAAACTGAGGCATAGCCAAGTATAGTCATTTCTCTGATCACATACTAGAAAGTGGTGGTGCCAGGTTCTGATGCAGACAGTCTTGTTTCGGAGCATAGTGCCCTTAAGGATACTTCCAGATATAACCCTTTGGGCAGGCTCAGGATTGGACAGAGAGGAGCATTTTGAAATCACTCTTCATATTTAAAAAGAGGTTTTGTGCTTGTTTGCACTATAATGTAAGTGACCTATGCGAAGTATGTTGTGTTCTTATATATTCCTGTTTTTTTTTTTTTTAAGCTTTTATTTATTTGAGAGAGATTGAGAGTGAGGGAGAGAAAGCAGGGGGAGGAACAGAGCGGCCAGGAGAGGGAGGGGAAAGACTCTCAAGCAGACTCCACATTGGGCGTGGAGCCCGAAGGGGGGCTCAATCTCACGACCCTGAGATCATGACCTGAGCGGACACCACGAGTCCAACACTTAACCAACTTGAGTCACTCAGTATCCCATATATTCCAATTTCAAAATGATGCTACAGATTACGACAAAACTTAAAATATTTGTGTTAAAAGAACACAAATGCAGGTATAATTTGAGTGTGAAAATGCACAGTCAATTGGGGTGTCTGGGTGACTTAGTCGGTTAAGCATCAGCCTCTTGATTTCAGCTCAGGTCATGATCTCAGGCTCATGATCTCGGGGTCGTGAGACTGAGCGCCAGGTGGAAGTCCAGGTGAAGCCCCGCGTCTGGCTCTGCACTGGGTTTGGACCCTGCTAGGGATTCTTTCTCTCCCTCTTCCTCTGCCCCCCTCTCTACTCTCTCTCTCTCAAAAAAAGAAAAAAAAAAAAACCCACAATCAATTCTATTGTTTTACAAAGAGTAATAAATAATGAGACATATACTTATGTACTTTTAAGTCTTTATTTTATGTGAATTTTAGAATTACATTAAAATATTCTTGTATAAGATATTTATAAATGGTCCATTCTAATATGAGTATTAATTTTTAAGTTCTCTGAAATTGGGAAAAATACTAAGTCATATATATGAACAGTTCAAAAAAAGCACTGCTATGTACTTCCGCTATAGTGGCACCTTAACTCATAAAAAGTCTTCCGTCCAAATGAGAGTAAAGGGCATATCATAATGTTCGTTTTATCCTTAAAGAAATACTACATGGCAGGTAAAGAGAAAGATTTTTCCATTTAGTGGTTAATGCTTTGTTCAAGGTCACAGCAAGATGGAGAAACAAGGAAAAACCATTGAGTTTGTAAGAGTTAGGAGATATTCCACCATTTTCGGAAACACAGATTTAAACTATTAAAATTCTTCTTAACTGCACAAAGTTTGCTTTTATAAGAGTGCCTCCTAATTTTAGAAGTGTCTCTTTTCCTGATGATTTTGTTTTAATAGCACTTAAAAAAAACTTCACATTTTAAAGTGATGGAAATTGTAATAGGCACTCAATTGCTAAGAATATGTGTTCTCTTTGTTAGCTGATGGCATACAACCTAATTGTGCTTTTCGATTAAGAATATATGTGAGTCCTTAACATGGAGACATTAATTCTATATGATGTCTTTCTGTGCTCATCTTTATTTTTGTGTGTGTGATGTGTGTGTGTGTGCAATGAATATTAAAAAATGGTAATTTTTAAAATTGCTTTCTTCAGATAAGGGTACAGATAGAAAACACAGGAGCAAAGGTTGTCTTAATGTCTTCTCTGTGGGTTGGATCAGTGTTGGTTGCTCTATTGAACATGTTAACAAAATAGAATCTCTTTCTTTAGTTGAGAATGATCATATATGGTATAATGCTTTTCTTTTCCAATTATACTGATGATTAAAGTCAGTATCAAGATTTATCAGATTATCAAGACGAAGAAGAATTTTTGACACCTTTCCCTGTGTTACGATTATTTAGTTTAGAGGAATTACCTCAAGAGTAGTTTTCCATTGTTTCTCTGTAAACAGCTGCTCTCTGTGTTGTTGGACAAATGCAGGAATGTGTTTTGTATACATTAAACACACATATAATAGTATTTGATCCTCACAACAACTCGGGGAGGTAGATATCACAAGTTTTATTATCTCTACAAACAGGGAAGTCCAAATTCAGAATGGCCCAAGGTCACATAACTGTAAAAGGAAGACCTACGGTTTGAACACCACAGGTCTTCTGTTTCAAATAGCCAGCTGACTCCCATGTACCCTTTGTAGAACAGGAGATAATAATCCTGTCTGGGAATGACTCGAGCGTGTATGTTTTTCTCTTGATATTTTCAGATTCCTTTCATTCTCTTAATTCAGAAGATACAATACCAAAATGACCTACCTAGTCTGTTTTCTTTCTTTCCTTTATTTCTTTTCTTTTTAAATTTTAAGCAGAGTCTCCATCATCCCGCCTTCTGGTCCCTATTCTTCTCTTGATCGGCTGGATTGTGGGCTGTATCATAATGGTTTATGTTGTCTTCTCTTAGAAAGGTAAAGTTTTCAGTAATTGAATATGTTTGTTCAGAAAGACCCTACCTTACTCCGGAAATAAATCTTTTCTGTTTCACTAATGGAATATTTTATCATGCAGGCAAGAAGACTTCAGAGGGACATCATTTAGAAGAATTAAGAAAAGCACAAACATGACAGATGATTAAATGTTTCTCATGCAAATAACTGCAATGTTTCACATCACTTCATAAACTTGGATTTGTAAACTGGTATTTTGGTGTGCATAAGAATCTCTTCCAGAACTTTTAAAAGATTCCATCTATGAATAAAAACGATAAGAAACCTGGGGGTTGGAAAAAGTTCCAAACTGTGACTAAAAATGCTTAACCAATAGGGAGAAGTTTGGTAAATTAAATTATGTTAAATTTTTTTTAGGTTATCCCCTCTCACCCCCAAAAAAACTATAGAAAAAAAAATGAGCTGGAGATAAGAAAAGATAGTTCACAGAAAACAAGATGTAAATATAAACTTGCCCTTTACCTTTTTTTTTTTTTTAAGATTTTATTTATTTATTGGACAGACAGAGATCACAAGTAGGCAGAGAAGCAGGCAGAGAGGGGGAAGCAGACTCCCTGCCTAGGAGAGAGGCCGATGCGGGGCTCCATCCCAGGACTCCGGGATCATATCCTGAGCCGAAGGCGGAGGCTTTAACCCTCTGAGCCACCCAGGCGCCCCTGCCCTTTACCTCTTGCTCATAATAAAAGAACTGTCATTGAACCTGCACTGGAGAACCATGGCTCACCTCTCAGCTGGGAAAAAGTAAGATGTTTAATAATATATATGTTGGTAAGGCTGTGGGGACTAAAGCATCTCATATAACGGTCTTTAGAAATTAAAATGGTGCAGCATTTTTAGGGGTGTTTGACAGTATCTATCCAAATTAAATATGCATTTAACTTCTGACCCAGCTATCCCTCTTCTCAGACTATTGTCATTCCCACAGATAGACACTGGTAAAAATGCAAAATGGCATATGCTCAAGCCTATTCATTAAGGCATAATGTATCCCAGCAAAAGCCTGGAAACAAGCCAAGTGCCCATTCACAGGAGACTGAGGGACTAAACTGGGTTCTCCCCACATAATGTGCTACTTGGGCCGCTGTGGAAAGGAATGAAGGGGGTCTCTGTATATTGATGTGATGTCATCTCCAGGTCAGAGTGTTGCGTGAAAAAAGCCAGGTACAGAACTAGGCATGCCGCCTTTGTGTAGAATGGAGGGGCGAGATCAATTCGCACTTTCTGATTTCCAGGGCTCCATATTCTTTTCTCCGGCACTTGAACACAGAAGGTAATGTTTTTAAGCACCCATAGAAATGAATTTTTCTATAATAAGTATTTTATTTCCACGTTTCCATATCCACCCTGATCATTTTCTCAGAGAACAAAGAACGCTTAGTGCAGTAAAGAGAACAAAAGTTTTGGAAGTCAGATTGTTTTATCCTAACTCGGAAGTCCTTTGAATAGCTAATTAATCTCTCTAACCTTAGTTTTCACAACTATAAAAGAGGGATAATAATATTCTCAGGGGATTGTTGAGAGGACGGCAGTGTTTTCTAAAGCTGCCTGATCTGAATGGATGGAGTCATTTATTAAAAATACAGATTCATTAAGCTGCTTCTCTAAGAGCTCATTTTGGTAGGTCTGGAGAAAGTCTATTTAAAAAAATCAATTAATTCTCCAGGCGATTTTTATTATCACGGAAGTTTGGAAAACACTCTTATAACATATGTGTGTATGTGGGCATTACTCCCGGAAAACCTACAGACACTGGTCCACCATAGCTTATACTGGTAAGTTTTCTTGCTGCAGCAAAAGATCAGCACTTTATTATGTAATATTACACTGTATTTTTTAATTACATGAATTAATGTCACAATACATCATAGTATCTGTCCACTAATATTTTCATATATGTGAATTTTATTTTCTGTATTAAATTTAAGCCCTTTATGGGTAAATCCATTTCTTATCTTTCTGACTTATAGACTATAGTTCAACATAGGCAACTAATAAATATGCATCAAGTGGGTAATTATTTCTCCCTACAATATTCACAAATACACAGTGTTGGTGTTCTACGTTTGAACTCGAAAGATGTTGTTGAAGCAATTGAAGCTGGATTGGAATTCTCAAAGAAGTGACGGGTGATCTATGATAGGCCCAAATAGGTGATTGCATATAAATTTTACAAGGCATAGAATCTTACACGTTTTTAAGTTTCTGAAGTCTTCAGTTTACCATCTATCAAAGTACAGATATAATTATTCGAGAAGAAGAGCCTGAGTTAACAGTTCCTTAACACCATTGATGGCATGACTGCTCAGCCTTACATCTTACATCTCAGCCCACACTCAATGCCTCCTCCCACCCTGAGACCTACACTGATGTCAAAGCTGAGAAATACTGCTTTCCTAATACCTCTGAGGACGTGAAATTTAATAAAAACCTTTAAAGAAAGCTGTTTATTACCCCCTGTGTCTGGGAAAAGTGATAAATTCCATGGAGTTTTAAAATGTCTAAGAAAACTCCTTATGACTTACCAAGCCTGGTAGAGCTGAGGACATTCCAAGGATAGATTCTAGAGGAGAGATCCCTGTGCACAGATACAACATTTTCAAGTAATAGCCATCTATCGATCTTGTAATTAAATAAAACTTAATCTGGGGTGCCTGGGTGGCTCAGTGGGTTAAGCCTCTGCCTTCAGCTCAGGTCATGATCTCAGGGTCCTGGGATAGAACCCCACATTGGGCTCTCTACTCATCCGGGAGCCTGCTTCCCTTCCTCTCTCTCTGTCTGCCTCTCTGCTTACTTGTGATCTCTGTCTGTCAAATAAATAAAAAAACAAAAACAAAAACAAAATAAGCCTTAATCTCTCTTATTCCAAGAAAATTATTTCCTACTTTATTATTTATTATATTTATTTCTTATTTGTTTTATTCACTCTCCTTCATTTTTGCCAATTGCAGTTTGTCAGACATCCCCTTTGCCTTTTTCTTCCTTTTCTCTTCTTTTTTGGATAAGCAGAGTAGGTGCACTTGAAACATAAATACACAGTAGCCGACGATTCCTTTAGAGGAAAGAAAAGAATAGCAAAAGCAGAAGAATGATATTTTGAGTTGGTAATTTCCCAGAGAATGAGATGGATGAATGTTTTACTTTTATTTCATTCTTCTTTGAAAGTGATTTCTTATTTTGCAGAGTGAGGTGGGTATGCAATTTCTTAGAAATTATCTGAACGAATCATGAGTGGTTACAGAGTGATGGTTTTTTGGGGAAGGACAGAAATATTCCAGGGCTTTGGAGTCTGGCCATTATCTGAGATTTAAGGCCATTTTCAGTAATTTCCTTGGGCTGTGCATATATGCCCTTATAAATTCAAAATTCCAAATGACACAAATATATATCTGATGGAGTTATTTTTAGAGCTTATGCCTGTGAATGTTAAAGGAAAGAGGATATTGATTAGAATCGTGATGCTGAATGAAACAGGGTCATGGAGAAATTGTTTTGAGTTATAGGTTACCTGCTCTGTAAAATTGGTCCAAAAGTGGAGAGTAAATGGAAACAGGCTTTTAAGTGGTTTGCATATTGATGAGTTTGAGGCCTCTCAACTGGCACCTTATTTATTTTCTCCCATTTCTACCATGTGAAGGTCTACTTGGGACAGGATGCATTAGGATTTAGAAAATGCAATCCTTCCAACTAATACATCTGGCGATCTCCTCAGGATGTTATAGACATTGGGGATAGTCTTTACCTATCTCGCTAAAGCTAGAAACTTACTTTGGAGCCTGTTGGCAATCGATGGAGAGATTGCTTTGGAGTCAGAGTACGATCACCTCTGCAAGCATCTGGCTAGATTCATCCAAATTTTGTTTTTCCCTTTGCTTTCTGCTCTTGGCTTTTTATTTAATATTCTCTCTCCATCTCTTCCAATTCCCCTGCCGTATATAATTAGCACTTCCTTCTGGTCTCAGTAACCTGTCTGGAGTTATGAGATCACCCTACCAGCAGCAGTAATTCCAACTTTGGCTCTCGCACCCTCCCGGTGAGGAAGCTGGATGGGCTTATACATACATCTGCTGCTCTAGTCAGCGCTTTTCCTCTGTGGGACCTAGCAGTTTCTTACAGGCGCTGTGGGCTTCCCATTTCCCCCATCTCTTCCACAGCAGCCCTCACTGGACCTGTATATGCTGGTCTGTGGGCAGGTTGCTGTTTGTGGAGTTCTGAAGCAGGACTGCTTATGTCACAACATATCTCAGAGCTTAATGAACGAGTTCTTTTAGTTTTTATTTTCAGCCGAGACTCTCCCTCCCTAGGACCCAAGCAGAGACCCAGGGCAGGGCCAGATGGACTCAAGTGGCAACTGCCATCCTGAATTCACCATCACTGTGTCAAGTTCCTCGAGCCTGGCTTCTTCAACAAAAAGGAGTTCTCCCAGGGGTCTCCTCGGGGTCATGTAAGCAGACTCTAGTTTCTTTGCCACGTCAGGATGCCAAACATGCTGAGAGTTGTTTGGATCTCACTGCCACCCAGGCAACATATCTGGGTTCTAGAGTCTTCTGACACAAAGAAGTAGCATCAGTGATAATTTAAAACAAAATACTGCTCTCAACCTACCAAAATGATTTTAAAACCAGTGGATTGATCAACAGTTTGGGGAGCACTACTTTAGAATTCAGTGTTTTTAGACAATACCATCTTGGTAAGAGTATATTTGACCATCCATAACCTCCAAATACACACACACACACACACACACACACACACACACACACACAGGCAAATAGGTTTCTTTGGTCTTCCTAAGAGAGATCTTTTCCCCTTTGCAACCCCCACTAAGTGGTAAGCTCTCTTTTTAAAATTGATGATAGTTATCATATAATATTATATTATGTTCAGGTGTACAACATAGTGATTCAACATTTATATTGATTACAAAATGTTCACCATGGTAAGTATAATAAACTCAATGTAGGATGTGTGATAATGTAGGATTCATGAGACAGGACAGAAGGATGTTCAATGGATATATGTCAAGCGAATAAATGAATAAATGAATGAATGCCTGAATATTACCTTTAACCAAACAGCTTCATGAGATATATCAAGAGTGTGAAGCCCCTTACTACATGCTCAACTAATGTAAGAGATCATTTTTTCATTATTAATATCACAATTTTTCTCATTACATCTTACATAC